TAAGGAACATAACTACCTAAATTAGATTTGCTATTGCATATAAAAAATTTCAAATTGCTCTAATGGAGATGAAATAGGGGTTTTTTGAAAACCTATTTCGGTGGCATGTATACTCCTGATCTATTTTCTTTTGTCTTTCTGCTATTAACTAATATGCTAAGTAGTATTCTTGTTTTTTAATTAGAAATTTTTTTTTTCAGATAGATTTATTTCTACTATTCCTAGTATATTAATATTTTTGTCTTTTATGCAATCTATAATTGCTTTTATCTTGTTTTTACATGTTTTAATGCTATTAATATTGTGAAATCCAAATTTTAAAATATTAAAGTCTTAGATTTTGCTCTTGTTTATTGCATTTCTTTTCTTCTTTCTTTCATATATATTTATTTGCTAACCAGAGACTTTTTTTTTCTTCTTGTTTTATGTATTCTGAGTGCTTTTGTGAAAGAGACTTCTTTAAATAAGTTTTTAGTTTTTAACTAGGGTGCTCTTTAAAAGTGTTAAGCAAATACTGTCTATTCATCTCTCATACTGTTGAGTCTTTTCAATATTTCTTTTAGCATTATTTAATATTTATCAATTTTGTTTATAATATTTAGATCTACTTTTCAGTTACAGTATCTTGGCTTCAACTACATTTGTTATCTTTGCTTCTCTTTCTTAAACTTGAATCAGCTCTGTCTTGTTTCTTCAATTTTTCTTTCTTCTTGTTATATGAAATCTTTCTTTTATAAAGGTGGTTTTCGATTGTTAAGATTTTCATTTTCATGTTTCTCTTTCTGGGCTTTATAAATAGTTATTAAATCTGCTTTCTTGCTTCTAGTTTAATAGCCAATTATATATCTAACTGGCTTACTAGTTGTTTTTTTTAAAACTGCTTCATTTTTTGAAAGTGATTACTGCTGCTTATCTCATTCAGCTATTTTTGTTTTAGAATATATACTGCTTTTGTATCTCTTTCTTTGATATCATCTAAAAGAAGTGTTTCTAAAACTTCTTCTGGAATACAATCTAATTTTATAGTATATTTAAAATGACTATTCATTTCTTCTCTATTTTCTTTGCCTTTAGAAACTCTTGCTAATTTATCATTTTCTAGTAGAAGAACCCAAAATGACTTGTACTCTTTTATGTTGAATCTCAATTCTACTTCTGCTATCATTCTGTATTTTGTTTTTTTAATCTTGATATTTTTCAGTTTGTTGAAATTTTTGTATATGTATTGAATTTCTTATATTCTAATTAATTTTAGTAGATTCTATATAATAATATGTCTTGTGTGTTTGTTTTATTTTCTTCATGATGTTTTGTTTTCTTTCTGCTCTTTCACAAGAGTTTCTTTCTTTAAAAGCTTAAACTTCTTTTTTTTGTTGATTGTCTCTCATATTCTTGTATTTGTTCTCTTTATTTCTTTGTTCAAATCTTGAGTTCTCATTATTTGATTTTGAAATAAGATGAAGCCAATCTTCTTCTTTTTTGCAACTTTTTGATTGCTTTCTCTCTGCTGTATTCACAGTCAAACTCTACTTCTATACTTCTTATATCGATTTTATATGCTTGTTTTTACTTAGGATTTCTTCTAAATTTGCAACTCTTTCTTTTGATGAGCTATCTGATACTTTGCAGTTATATGCTTTTGCAAAGAAAATTTATTGCCTTTGCAGATTCTATTGTTAAAAGACCAGATACTACATTCTATCAAATTATTTATCATTTCTGAGAATAATTCTTGTTGGTCTTCTTTCTCTATCTCTTATATTACCTTTCTGATATTTTTAATTATATTTTTTACAATGCTTTCTTTTGGTACTTCTTTATTTTTTTATTCTTTTCTTTAAATCATTTTGTATAACCTTGTTATGTATCTGTGATTATTATTTATCTTTTTTATTTTCTAAGATTTTTATAATTTTTATTTGCTCTAATGATTCTTTTACTCTTCTATCTTCTTTGTTGCTTTTTTCTGCTTCTTCTTCTTGTCTTCTTTTTCTTAATTCTTCTATTTGTATATCTTCTTTTTGTATTCTTGTTACTTATTCCATTTTATTAATTTTCTTTTTAATTTTTTCTTTGCTTATTTCAATCATATAGTTAATTGACTTTGGATTCTAGTTTATCTATTTTGTCTTAATTGCCTACTTCTCTATTTGGTCTTCTTCTAGTCTTCTGTATTTGGCCTTATAAAATGCTATATAGAACCTGCTATATACAATTAGTTTTGATTAGAGTTAATACCTGAATCTGGATTTAACCTCTTAAATCTGGATTTAATAATTATATCCAGATTTAATGATTATATCCAGATTTAACCATGATATTCAGATTTAATCATAATATCTAGATTTAATTATAATATCCAGATCAGAGATATATCTAAAACAAGTAGTCACCAAGTTATTTCAGAGAACACCAAAATTATACAAATACTTTTAAACTTCAGAATTATATATACTATTTCAACTTTCTATTGACCTCCACAACTTTCTTCAAGCAACGCAATAACTTTTCTGTAAGCTTTTAGTAACTTGTGTTAATGACGAATCTATGATACTCCACTTCTTGAACTTAAGCTTGTAAATTGTCAAGCGAACATATATTAGCAAAAGTTTCTTTATTCACTTAAGAATTTTTTTTGCGGTTCTAATTTTTAGCACATTTTGATATATACTAAATTACTAAATCTTAGAATTTTAGATCTTCCTAAATCCTTGATCCGTCCCAATACTATTAATCACTAATTGTAGGTTTATTGAAGCATCATTTTTCTTTAATGCTCAATGAGATATTTGCATTAGAGAGTGGATTTACTAATTTGAAATTTAATTGTATGCTGATTATAATAATTTTTGAGTTTCTTGTTAAATATTGTCAATACAGTCAATATGGTCAAGCCTCCTTAAGTATAATATTATAGAGGACCAAACGAGAATCCAAACCGTGTATTTAGGGGGTCAGGTTAATGAAAGTTATATTAGCCAGGATCAAGTGAGATGTGGGGAATCGTGTATTTAGAGGAGTATGACTCCTCGAATAATTAGTTAACATGTTTGAAAAAATTAGTTTTTTTTGGTTCACAAAATTTATAGGAGTTGATATTTTAAGAGTATGATTTATGGCTATAAAAGCTTATGGGGGTTAATAATAAAATTTGAATTTGCATTTTAAGGAGTATGACTGTAAAAGCTTATGGGTTTATAATAAATTTGCAACTTGAGAACGTGCATTTAAAAACATGATCGTATGATCATGAAAACTTATAATAAAATTGCATCTTACGAATTTGCATTTAGAGGAGTATGACTATAAAGGCTTATGGAGGTTTATAATAAAATTTGCATTGCATTTAGAGGAGTATGATTGTAAAAGCTTTTTGCATTTATAATAAAATTTGTATTTTGAGAACGTGCATTTAGAGATGACTTATATCAATGACAATATTAATATATATATATATATATTTTCTTTATAAATAGTTGGCTTTGCCAATTTTGAGTTTATTAAAATTCTATTTTGACAATACTTAACTCTAAGAAAAAAAGACAAACTACTAAAACTAATATCACTAATACCACTCATACCACTAACACCCAATCAATCCAATCTGCTTCATCAACTTCATCAGTTGCTTCTAGTGACTTACCAAAGACAAGGGCAAATGCTACTTTTATCTGATTTTTTTTTAAAGATGATCAAAATAATAACGCAATTGCATATTGTAAAATTTGCATTCGGGAATTAAAGGAATTAGATGAATTAGATGAAATTTAGACTAGTTTATACCCATATAGCAAATCGGGAAAAAGTACAGGATATTTGATTACGCATTTACACACCAAACATCAGATAAATTCAAGAAATTATAAAAGATACCTTGACCATAATAATGAAGTAAAATTGCTATTTAATAATCAAAATTTCAAATAATTTAAAAAAATTTTTTTTATAGCCTATAATAATAACTAATCAAAAACCAAATTCAGATCTAGACCTACCTTCTCTTTTACCAGAAAAGCAACGGGAATTAACAAAGCTTGTGGTAGAGTTCATCGTATATAACGTTTAACTATTATATGTATTAAAAAACCTATCTTTCCATAAGCTTCTACATAGTTTTAAACTACAGTATCAAGTACCAAGCACTAATACAGTAAAAAATATATCTCTGAAGCTTATTCGTAGGGGTCTGAAAAGCTTAAAGAGCTATTATTGAATGTTAGTACTGTTAATTTGACAACAGACTTGTGGACCGCAAAGACTAATTACGGTTATCTTGATATAACTGCAACATGGTTAACATCTGATTTTAAGCTTCGGGAAGCATTACTCTTGAGTAAACATATACCGTATCCACATACAGGTCAAAGTATTAGTGAAGAATTATTTTTTATAATACATAAGTGGGGATTAGTAGATAAAGTAGATGCAATTGTAACGGATAATAGTGTTAACATGATAAAGGGTATCGATTTGTTAAAAGAAAACTACTTGCCTAATATTATTTGGCAATCGTGTATCACTTATACTCTTCAACTTTCAGTAAAAGAAGTGTTAAAATGAATTAAGCCAATTCATAAGTGGCTTAAAAGCATTCAATCATTTTTTAGACTTCCAAAGCAGGCGCAGTGACTGCAAAGTATACAAATACAAATGAGTTCATTTGATGAAAACCAAGGTGATGCTGAAGATGAAATAATAAACCTACTTGATATTTTGACTGACTATAAAATACGTTGGAATTCTACTTACTTAGCATGGAAACGAATTTTATTGTTGCATACCGCAATGCTAAGGCTTGTAATATCGTTACAAAATAAGCCAGATGCTATATCCAAATAGGAGGGTGAGAAGCTTCTTAAATTGTGTTTGACTACAGAAAAAAAAGAGTATGTTTTAATATTCAACATAATCTTAATTATAATTCTAGTAATGAATAACATAAAATTATCATAAATCCATATAATATAGAATTATAAAATCATCTATATAGAGATGGACAAAATAATTACTTATTATTTCTATTTCTTAGAATATCTTATATAATAAGTAATAAGTAATAAATTCATAAGAAATGATTAGTAATAATATATAAGTGTAAGCAAGCATAAAAAAAAAAATACAACTATTACCTATATTATTAGCTTGCCCATCTCTATATCTATATCACACTAGCCTGCTATTGTATAATATTGGAATCTGTATATTATTCTATTAATTTTTAATTTTTTTTTTAAAGATTTGTAGAACAAATGGTTGATCTCTTAAAACTATTTGAAGAAATCATGAGGCATATTTGTGGATCAAATTATTCTACCCTAAATCTCGTATACTCTTATATTTGTATTTTAAAAAATAAGTTCACTCCAATAAGTGAAAAAGGAGAATCATTGGAATCTTGGCTTGATCTTATTTATGGCTTAGAAAAGTTAGATACTACCGATGAGTTAAGCCTCAGTAGTGATAACAAAGCTGACATACCATCAGCTGGAAATCGGCAACAATGGCAATATACATATAGAAGTGTATATTGTCGTAAAAATCGGGTTATACATAAAAAGAAAAAAAATAATAATAATAAAAAAGTAATTTCCAAGTTAAGTGATTCTAATACTGTAGAATATTTGCCATCTGCAGATTGTTCTGGACTTTTAGAAAAAGCATAAGCTGCTATTTTTCTATCTCTTGATGAATTATGGAGCACATCTGATGAAATTAGCTTAAAGGTAGTGTTTTAAATTGATTATCTGGTTAATCAACTAGTTGTTCTAAATAACAGCTACACTTGATATACAAACTAATAATTAATTAGTCAATTAATTGATTAATTGACTAATCGATTAATTAATTAACTAATAGATTAGTTAACTATAATCGATTTTAATCGATTTTTAAACAAATTTGACCAACTAATCGATTACATTTTTTTTGGTTTGATACTGTAATAACACTACGTAAAGGCTTCTATTTTAGATTCACGAGCATTAAAGTTGCTTCTATTTGTAACTATTCAAAAGAAAAAAGAAACTGAAGCCCAGATTCGCGCTGAATTATTAGTATTAGAAACTCAGGTAACTAATTTAAATAGTGAAGAAATGGAAAGAAATAAAGTAACAACCAATGAAGATCTTCAAGATTCGTTAAGTGCTGAGCTATGGGGATCATGTTCGATACCTAACCAAGACATTACTGAAGATGAATTCACTCACTATATGAAAGAACCAATTGTTTATAAAAATCATGATCCATTAATATAGTGGGAAAATAGATATATTAATTATCCACTTCTTAGCTAACTTGCTCGCAAGTATCTATCTATTCCCGCTACATTAGTCCTATCAGAACGGTTGTTTTCTGATGCTAATATATATATTTCAGCTAGAAGAACTCGTCTTGATCCTAACCTAGTAGATAAGATGCTATTTTTAAAAAGAAATTTAGATCACTTTCCTATGTTTCCGTCTGAAAATATATAATTTTGCAATCTAGTAAAATAATGTTAGATAATGCAAAACATATTAGTTTAATAATAATAAATAATATTCTATTCTATTACTGTTTTCTTAAAGAGTTTTGGTTTAAGCAAACAAGAACGCTGTTAAAATTGACAACTTCATGAACTCATGAACATACCCGCATAACAGTTTCAAATTAATTACGTTATGAAGAAATAATTTTTTTTTTTGGCCAATCAGATGACATATTACGTTAAATCCGAATATCACTCTTAAATCCGGATATCATAGTTAAATCCAGATATCATGGTTAAATCTGGATATAATAATTAAATCTGGATATAATCATTAAATCCAGATTTAAGGGGTTAAATCTGGATTCAAGTATTAACTCTAGTTTTGATATTGTAGTTTTTTATCATTAAGCTTTTGGCTATATGTTCTATATTATTTGGTTTACTGACTTTAACTTCTTTAGTAAACTTTTCTAGCTATGCATCCATCATATATTTTGCTGCTGCTATATATTTGCTCTATACAAAGTCAAAAAGAATAATTATTATTATACTTTGATGTCTATTAATTTTGTTAATAATTTAGATTTGCTTGTATTGTCTGATTATCTAATCTAATTTTATAGAAAATTCTACTAGTAATTTTTGTTTGTATTTTGTATATAATTTTGTTGTTGTTACTTTGTTTTACATATGCATTTTTGTTTTGTTTCTTGATTTATTTTAGATGTGTATATTTGTTTATATATCTGTGCAATTGTAAGTAATTTGCATTTAGAGTCAAACTGATATCTACTTTTTTGTAAAATTTCTTTACAAAATTTCATTTTTTTTTAGATAGCTTGCTTGATATAAGTTTCTTTTTGCTTATGTTTAAACTACTAACCATTACTTTTGTTGCTCTTTCTGTTTTATTAGAACCACTTGCAGAGTTTTCTATAGTTTTTATTGAGTTTTTGCTAATTTAGCTTCTGTTTGTTTTTGTATTCAAGTAATTATCAGAAAGAGTTGTTTGAATTAATTACTAGTATATTTGTCTAGTAAAATTTTAAGATATAGTATTTTAATAGTTTTAAATAATATATTTAATAAAATTAGACAAGAGTAAAAACTACAAGAGTTTTTTATATAATTACTGTAGCTAGTGTGGCTTGTATAACCTTGTGTAATCCAAATTAGTTTAGGATAATATAAGAGTATAGCTAGTATAGCTAGTATAGATGATGTAGCTGGTGTAGCTAGTATAGCTAGTATAGCTAATATAGCTGATGTAGCTGGTGTAACTAATATAGCTAGTATAGCTAGTATAGCTAATATAGCTAATATAACTAGTATAGCTAGTATAGCTAATATAGCTAATATAGCTAGTATAACAGATAAGTTATATATATATATTTTTTTTTTATTAAGATAACCTCTTGATTGTTTTCTTTTATTCGATTATTGTTGACTTTTATAGTATAGTATACCAAACCATACACATATTTAGAAAGTACAACTAACTACATATGCAACTTTTAATTGCCTATTTAAGTAAACATTTAAAGGTTCTACACTAGCTGCCATACCTATAACTTTATTGAGTTACTTATTTAAACTCTCTGTGCCTATATATATTAATTATCTAATCGAGCAAAGATACAAAGTATCCCCTTATTTTCAGACACCTGACTTAGAACTTTAAAGCAGATTTCTATTAAATTCTTTGTCTTTAAGATAAACCTGCTAGAGCCTTCTGTACCTACAAATCTGGCTGACCTAGACTTTCAGTAACTTATGCCAAATCTGAAAACAAGTACTTGCAAGCTGAAGTCTCTACTGTTATCTACTACTGCCCTTATAGAGTTTACCCAAACCCCAGCACCTACTATACAAACTATTCTCTGTACACCTGTTATCCCAAACTTCCAATTCAGATAGTCCAAAAGGGCTGTGACCTGCTCTTGGTCCCCATGATTGGGTCTTTTTCCTCTGTTTACTCTCTGATAGCTAGATTGATAGAGTGTCTTGCTAAACACTTTGGTTCTATTTGGTTTTCTAGTTTCCTGGTTAATAATTCTTTATGTAATATTGTCAAAGATCTGTGCTATCTCTCTATTTGGATCTTGTCAAGTGGGCTTCTGTGTACGCTGACTCTGAATTTATACAGCTGTTTCACTTAGATTTTGTATAACTTGTGCATTATACTACATTCTACTAGTACGACCAGATTACAGATACCAATCTATCTGATTACACTCACAGTCTGCTATATCACATTCTGGAATTTGAATTTTCATCATTGATGGGATTCAAACTCTGATCGCTGCCACTTGAGGATATGACAACTTCATCACTTCACTAAGTCGCCACACCCTTAAGTAATATATAATACTAAATTGTATATTGATATACAAATATTATATAAAAATAATAGTTGATAAAAATAAATTCATATTATTAATTAAGTTACTAATTTAGATAATTTGATTGATATAATAGAAAATTTAATTATTTCTGAGTTTGGAAATGATTTTTCATTATATGAAAAATAGATTGAAAAAAAAGTTGAAATAAAAGTAAAAAAAATTTTAAGAATTTTTTAAGAAGAGCAAAGAAAGTTTTTGTTGGTATTTTAATTAATATTAGGCTAAAAACCTTTGTTGAGAGTTTGTTTTAATCAGATAAATGAGCTTAGCAACTTATCTTAAAGTCACCAAATAAATTGTAAAGACAGTTTTGAAGAAATAATTAAAAGTGAGACAATCATTTGAACACAAACAACCAGAAAAGAAAAACTGTGAAAACTGAGTAAACCATCTAGAAAACACATCAAGAGGCTTTAAAAAAACAAGAAGAGCAACAAAAATAACTAATAGTTGTCTTAAGTCTTGATAAAGCTGTGCTTATAGAAAACAAGTTAACAAAGGAAAACAAAATTTTTAAAAAATTTATCTTTGAAAAGTGGGTATTACCAGTAACTTGGAATTATAGATCATTAAAGTAATACAAATATATAAATTTAAACAAAACAAAAACACGCTCAAAATAAGCCAGCAAATACGTATTAAGATACACAAACAACAAATACTATGTGAACTAAAAAGGGCAGATAAGATAGATTAGATAGAACATTCTAGAAATATAAGTCAATCAAATGAATCAACAGAATTAGAATTAATAACAGAAATGGAGTACATATATAATATATATGATATAAGGCTGCTTAGATATCTAATGAAAG